GCTGGAGAGTGAGTGAGAGCGAGGAACAGCTGGAGAGTGAGTGAGAGCGAGGAACAGCTGGAGAGTGAGTGAGAGCGAGGAACAGCTGGAGAGTGAAGTGCAGACTGGCGTAGAGTTGGTGGTAAGAAACAGACTGAGGAGAACTAGAGACAGAGAAATCTGGTTAACGGGCAATAGGATTTATTTGAGTAGACGCATGATTTACCAGGTGCCTCTACTCTGCTGCTGTCCTGAATATTTCTAATCAAAATGGAAAATGAACAGATTAAATGATGACATTTCTTTGTTTTGCAGAAGACGCAGCAAGTGGGACCAGCCAGGTCCTGCTATTAATGGGTCATTGCCTGGGGTGATGCCAGCACAGGTCTCCATGCCGACAACCACCTTTGCAACGGGTTCAGTGCCTGTCTCTCTGCCTCTAGGCACTGGTGCTCCATCACCAGGAATGACGATGAGTGTTGGTTCCGTCGCCCCAGCTTCTGGAGCATTAGACGCAGCAGCAGCTGTTGCTGCCAAGATCAATGCCATGCTGATAGCAAAAGGAAAGCTGAAACCCAGTCAGATTACTCCTGAGCAGGTACAAATTGCAAGTCTCTGAGGGTGAGAATATGCAGCATTAGAGCAGAGCCCAGTTCACAGTGTGAAGTGGTGAAGACAGGGTGGCTGGCTATGTCCATTAAAGAATGAGTAGTCATTTGTCAGAGCAATATCATGCTTATGTGTGATAGAACAAATTTGCATGTTTCTGGTGTCTTTTTCTTTTAAATTTTATTTGTGGATATGGGCATTGCTGGCTAGGACAGCATTTATTGCCCTTCCGTAGTTGTCCTTGAGAAGGTGGTGGTGAGCTGCTGCTTTGAATCCTAGCAGTCCACATGCTGTAGGTTGACCCACAATGCCCTTCGGAGGGAATTCCACACCTTCAGGATGGTTCTTTGTCTGGTTGTGGTCTATCTGTTATAGGAAGGGTATTATTGGGCTGGAGAGGGTTCAGAAGAGATTTTGCAGGATGTTGTTGGGAATGGAGGGCTTCAGTTATAAGGAGAAGCTGGATAGGCTGGGACATTTTTCATTGGAGTGTATGAGGCTGAGGGCTGACCTTGTAGAGGTTTATAAAATCATGATGGGCGTAGATAAGGTGAATGGCAGGTGTCTTTACCTAAGGGTGGAGTTTTTCAAAACTAGGGAGCATATTTTTAGGGTGAGAGGAGAAAGATTTAAAAAAGACATGGGGGCAGATTTTTTTACACAAAGTGTAGGTTGTGTGTGGAGAACTTCTGGAGGAAGTGGTGGATGCAGATACAGTTACGTTTAATGGCATTTAGATAAGTACATGAGTAGGAAAGGTTTGGAGGGATATGGGCCAAGCGCAGGCAGGTGGGACAAGGTTAGTTTGAGATTATGTTCAGCATAGACTGGTTGGACCGAAGGGTATGTTTCCATGCTGTCTGACTCTGTTTCAAAGTGAAGCAGTTTTTCCTAAGTGTTGTCCCTGGTGTAATTTGCTCCCAAAGACGTTTTTATCAGAAATGACTGCATGTCACTGTGTCAGGCCTCAGCAGCTTTATGTCTACTTTGAACCACTGTTAAGATTCAGACTTAATTTCCACGGTGAGGTGGTGGCCTGCAGTGTGATTATAGAAAGCCTCACTGTTTTGAGTGTGACTCATTTGCTAACTTAGGTTTCTGTAGATAACTGGGTGTTCACATTTTGTTCCTAACAGGTGAAATAATAAATATGGTCTGCAGTGGATTTGATTGTCCTTGTTCATAAATCACAAAATGTCAGTAATAGTATGCATGACTTTGGAGTATTTGGAGGAGTTGAGAAAGAAAGTTTTCATCCATACGCTGTGGGTGGAGTATCCTCACCTGCAGGGTTTGGGACCAAGAAGTAGATAGTGAGATGAATCTGGATAGCTCATTCCCAGTTTTCACAGACAAGATGGGCTAAGTATCCTGGTTTGTGCTGTCATTTCTTTTGATTCTATGAGGAGACATTTTGCGGTTGTAGATATTTGGAATTTGTGATGTCACAGAGCAACAGATGCTCAGTCGTTCTGTATAAAAGACTCTGATCGTTGGATCCTGGCGATTCAAGGGCTCTGGGGATTGGGGTGGGAAGGTGGGCTTCAGTTTACTTAAACATGATTTTATTGAATGATGATTTCCAGTGTTTATAGTGTTATTGCTACCTCCCAGCGCTGACCACCTGTTGTTTGCAGGCACCCCTTCCTGCAAAGAGTGTGGCAGCAGCTCCTGCAAAAAACAAGGATGATCTGGTGGTGGCTGAAGTCGAAATCAACGACGTTCCCATCAACTGTCGAAACCTGCTCACCCGAGGGCAGACTCAGGATGAGGTAAGAGAACTATCTGGAGGATACGGTCCACTTGCAGTGCGGGCAACAGAACTCTCTGGGAGGGTGTAGGGTCTCTGACCAGAACAGCGACTCCACGAGAGGGTATAGGGATCTCTGACCAGAGCAGGCTCTCTGTGGGAAGGGAAGGGGTCTTTGATTTGAATCTCTCTGTGGACGGGGTCTCTGATCGGAGAAACCCCTCTGCGGGAGGGCAAGGGTGTCTGACTGAAGTGGCCTCTCCGCAGGAGGGTATAGGGGTCTCTGATTCTCTGTGTAGGTAGTGGAGAGGTCACTTCTGGAGCTCTTGGTTCTTTATTTGTCTGGTTTAGTTTCAGGGTTTTATGAGCAAGGTGTAAGTTGTGGAGCCTCCATGTGCGTGTGGTATGGCTCTAGGGGCTTGAAAGGATGCTGCGAACTCACTGAAAGATTTCTAGTCTCCACGTTTTACTCCCTCAATGATAATTTCCTCCGTAGCATCCGCTCAGACTTTCCAAACCATTTATTGATGACATTTCTGTTGCGAGATTGATGGGGTTTTCTTTTAAAAAGTACGGTTCTGAATATTTAAACAACATTTGAGAGTGATTTTGAGTTGTCTTTCCTTGTACAGGTCAGCCGGCTGACTGGAGCAGCTGTGTCTACACGAGGGAGATTCATGGCACCAGAGGAGAAAGTACAAGCCACACCAGGGTATGTCTTTGGTGAAGAGCACTCTCTCCCTCCCTCCCGTCTCCTGAATTTACTGGCCCAGGTCTGGGAGCTCATTCAGTCTCCTCTTTATTCTTCTTGCTGGTCTCAGCTGTGGCTTGGTGAGTATCAGTGCCTCTCGCATCCTGGAGTCAGCTTGTTGTTCAAGACCTACCTGCAGAAACATCATTCAAGTTGAGACTCACAGAAGAATACTGAGAGCTCTGGCTGAGGTGTTACACTGTAGCTCTGTCTTAACACACAAATGTCATCACGCTCCCATCACATCCTGTTCTCGTGCCTGTTTTGTCCTTACCAGGGCACTGAGGCCGGTTGTAGTCCTGATGGAACAGTTACCTCTCTGGAAATTGAGGGTTTCTCTGTCCCTCATCTGCCACTCTGTCTTTCAGCAGCTGTCCATTTTGGATTGTATTTGTTCCACATTAAGCGTCAGGAAAGATTCTTACTTATGTTTCTTCTTACACCCTGAACAGAGACCGTGCCCTGTACCTGCACATCCAAGGACAGACTCGTGATGTTGTTGACAGTAAGTACGAGACTGCCGAGTTCTAGCCTCCAGTTCTGTTTTGTGCCACATTAGTTTGTGAGCCAGGGCAGCAATACATGCTGTCTGTATTACCCATACAGGCTGTGATAATCCTCCTAAGACCATTAATGGCATGAAGAAACCAGATTGGAAACAGTCAGGGGGATGAAGCAAGTGAACACTTGAGTCTCTTTCTAAGTCCATTCTATACCTGTCCTGGGAGTGTTTGATAGGACATTGGAGAGAGTGCTGCATTTTGCACTCTGCTTCTCTATGTTGAGGATCAGGAGGATGAAGAAAGTGGAACATGTGCAGTGCTTGTGATTCTGCTGATAGTGTCCTCCGATAGAAACTGGGCCGTGAGAACGACCCCACTTCTGGTGAAAGTTGGGGATTCACTGCACAGCCCAATAGTTCATTCACTGCCAACTTTTCTGCTTCAGAGAGTTGGGGGTTTCAGCCATATTCTAGATGCTAACGCTAACCCAATGTTTTGAAAGATGTTCTCTGTAGAATACTGAGAAAGCAATGAGTTTTCAGGGTGTCAGTTACTGAGGCTCGGACTGTACTGAGGGGGCACCACACTGTGGGAGGGTCAGTGCTGAAGGAGTGCCACGCTCCTTTGGTTTTTTCAATGCACTCCAGTGTATACTGGAGGTTTTAGGTGTGTGTGAGATTGAGGGCAGGGTTAGGCTCCTGCATGACCACTGATATGCCAACCAGGCCCCCAGCTGCTTTTGGGAATTGCTAGTCTTTCCCTCAGCAAGTGTGTGACACTTTGAGTGGGAGGGAAAGGAGTAAACATGAGTTAGTTATGGGATTAGTGTATTGATTATATCTAATAAATCAATAGTTAAGTTTCATCATTTACACTTTGGATTTCTTTGCAGAGGCTGTGAACCGCATTAAAGAGATCATCGCAGGTGGAGTTATAAAGGCTGTCAGTGCTTCCAGCTCGCAGTTCAATGGTCCAATGGTTACTGTCTATCACCAGCCAGCCCCTGTTACTCATCCTACAACCACCACAGCGAAATCACAAGCTGGGGTAAGTACAATATTGTAAAGACTGTTGAGTTCTGAACTAGTTTCTAGATTCTCTCGCTGTATGGCTCTGGATGGGTGTTTGTGCACTCAAAGCTTTCAGTACCTGTGCATCACTCAGAGGGGATACCATGCAGCTGCTGTACAACATTGATAACCGGTTTCAATGCACTGCTGACCATACAGAGACATGGGAATATAACACTGTACTATCCCTGTTCTGGGAATATCTGATGGGGACAGTATAAAGGTAGCTTTACTTTCAAGTTAGAAGAATAGAGGAGCTTCACTGCCAGCTCAGAAAACTGGAGGGAGCTTGGCTCTGTATTTAACCCTGTAGTGTCCCTCTTCTGGGAGTGTTTAATGGGGGATAGTGCACAGGAACTTTACTCTGTATCTAACCCAATGCTATCTCTGTCCTGGGAGTGTTTGATGGGACAGTGGAGAGAGTGCTGCATTTTGCACTCTGTACATTGGGGATCAGGAGGATGAAGAAAGTGGAACATGTGCAGTGCTTGTGATTCTGCTGATACTGTCCTCCAATAGAAACTGGGCCTAGAGAACGACCCCACTTCCAGTGAAAGTAGGGGATTCACTGTGCAGCCCTACAATACATTTCACTTCTTAAACAGATACCCCTGTCTTCCTAACGTCAAGTTTGTGAATGGTTAACTGTCACAGGTATTCTTTCATTCCTTGTGCCTGAGATGGAGTCTAGAACGAATGCCTGAGGTGAATGTGTTCACCCAGTCCAGTGTGTATGTATGGTTTCACCAAGATAAATCAGCTAGTCCTTCATGGAAAACTAATCCCTGTTTGGTGACTGCTGGTAAAGAGAATTGAATGAGTGTGGGATTAGGTAGGGCTGTCAGATATCTTCTCACTTCTGGTTCTTGTTAACTCTTGTGACCGTGGCTGATTGAGAGACAAATCCTAATTGTATGACTGCTGCCAATAATGGTTTTCTGTAATACGGGATAGCAAGAACTGCAGATGCTGGAGTCAGAGACAACACAGTGTGGAGCTGGAGGAACACAGCAAGTCAAGCAGCATCAGAGGAGCAGGAAAGTTGACGTTTTGGGTCAGGACCCGAAACATCGACTTTTCTGCTCCTCTGATGCTGCCTGACCTGCTGTGTTCCTCCAGCTCCACACATGGTTTTCTGTATTTTACCATTAATACTGCTCACTTAATGTTCATTTCAAAAGCTAGAATTTGATGTGGCATATGAGAGATGCTTGGAGTATTAAAGTTGAGATCCCTAAGAACATAAAACTGGGAGTGGGGGTAGCAGTTTAATATGATTATGGCTGATCTCATTTCAGCTTCAACTCTACTTTCATGTCTGTTCCCCATAACCCTTTAACCCATTGTTAATGTAAGAATCCTCCTTAAATTTATTCAATGTCCTGGCATCCACAGCATTCTGGGGTAGTGAATTCCACAGGCCCTATGAGAGAAGCAATTTCTCATCTCTGTTTTTAAATATGCCACCCCTTAGCCGAAAACTATGACCTCTTGTTCGAGATTGCTCCACAAGGAGAAACATCTGCTTTGCATCTCTCTACAGTTTTGTTGCTTCAGGGTTGTTCTAATGGTGTTGCACCTTTAGACGATAGAATTGCATGCTTTTATTCCTAGTTACGGAAGTTTGATCAGAAAAGACCAACACACCTGTCCCTTGGGATATACTCGTGTTACCTTCTCTTCACCAGATTCCTCCTCTTCCGAAACTCCCCTGAATGTCTGTTAAGCCCTTATATTATCCTGGTTACTCATTCTACTCTGTTAGCCTTTCTCATCTTTTGCAGTGTTACTATACAGCTTCCAAACAGTAGTAGGACTGAATTATGAGGGATAACTGAAAAAAACATGGCCATTTCATGCTTGAGGCTTTTAAGAATTCTAGTATGAAGTGGCCATTGAAATGGAAAAAGAATCCTGACAAGGATTTTCCAGAACCTCTCCTTCACCCTCAGGCTTCTGGCTCTGAGCTGTCCATTTTAGTGACTGCCATCCCTGTAGAACTGATTGGTTCAGCTGTAATTCCCAAGCACTTCACACAGGAACCTGACTCACTGGGATGACAGCTCAGTGTGTGATACAAGGGAGCAGGAGGAGGCTATTTCAGTTTCTTGACTCTTCACCATTCACTGACATCGTGGCTGATGTGGATCTTAACTCTTTCTTAGCTCCGTACCCTTAATACCTAGGTTTATCAAAAATCTATGAATCTCAGTTTTGGCAAAATCTGTACTACAAATGAATTTCTCACCACTTCGTACATCAGACTAAGCATTAAGTCATTATTTGGTGCCATTGCTAAAAGTGGTCCATGTTTTCTTTTTCACCCAGTATCAGTCAGTTTAAATATTGCTAGCTAACACTCTCCCTGCAGTGTTGACTGAATCTCCAACAGTTCCTCTTGCTTCTGTATTCACTTTGCTTGGTGCCTGATGTATAATCTGTTCCTTCCTTTTCTCCGCAGATGCATTATGTTCAAGATAAAGTTTTTGTGGGTCTGGAGCAGATTGATCCAGCCTTTAACATTAAAGAGAAAGTGGAGGGTCCAGGCGGATCCTACCTGCAGCACATTCAGGCTGAGACTGGTGCCAAGGTTTTCCTTCGTGGGAAGGGTTCAGGCTGCCTGGAGCCTGCATCTGGGAGAGAGGCCTTTGAACCAATGTACATCTATATTAGGTACCAAGAGGAATTGCCAAAAGCTTTTCTGGGTTTACATGTTATGTGTTTTGACGAGACATGTCACTGCACCACAGCTATGCCAGTCCTTGACTTCATTTGTTCACTGTGACTTTCACGCTGTAGCAGTTTCACAATGCATGTACAAACTGGCACAAGCACACAGCCTGGGACAGGAGGAGTGGGGGGGTTGGGGTGGGTGGGTGGTGGTGGTGGTGGTGGAGAGAGCGCGAGTGATATGTGGGAGGAACAATGACTGGTGTTGTGGCCAGGTCTTGTTTGTATATCAATGGCAATGGGCTAAGACTGAGCATTCACTCTTCCATCAGGAATCTCCAGCATCTGCCGCGAATGGGAATCCCAATTCCTCACTGCATGGACAGTAGGAGCTTTACTCTGTATCTAACCCCGTGCTGTTCCTCTGCTGGGAGTGTTTGATGGGAGGGACAGTGTAGAGGGAGTTTTACTCTATCTAACCTTGTGCTGTCCCTGTCCTGGGAGTGTTTGATGTGGTCAGTTTGTGAGAGCTTTACTTTGTTTACTGTCATATTAAATGAGTAGAGGGAGCTTTACTCTCTGTAATCATGTGGCGTCCCTGTCCTGTATGTGTTTGATGGGGACAGTGCAGTGGGAGCTGTCCTGTCGGGTTGCAGAGTGCCTGCACTGAGTTGGAATCCTTTCTGACAGATTGATTTGTGTTCCTTTCAGTCATCCCAAACCAGAGGGTCTTTCAGCTGCAAGGAAACTTTGTGAGAGCTTGCTGCAGACTGTGAGTAACACTTCAGTAATGAGCTTAATCAGTCCAATGTTCCTGTTCCTCTCCTGTCTCCATCAGTCCCCAGTCCATAAGTCAGTGACTCACCAGTTTCTGCCTCCTTCAAGTGATTTGTCATTGTTGGCTCTGACAGTGTAGCAGGATATTCAGCTGTGGGTGGAATCGCAGTGATTGCCAGGGTTTGTCTTTTCCTGACAGCTGGAGTCATTCAGGAGCAGGAACCTAAACTCCGGATACTGAATCCAGTTGTAATTGTTGACTGCTCATTCTGGTTGGAATCAGCACAGACTGAATACAGAAGATGAGATCCTCCAGTTTTGTTCATTGTGGCAGCTTCTCTGGGATGCTTCCATTTGGAGTCAGAGTCATAGAGATATACAGCATGGGTACTGCAGAATGGGTAAAGTGTGCCATGTGATAACTGAATCCATTTTCTTTCTTGCGCCCTGTAGGTCCACAGTGAACATTCTAGGTTCTTGAGTCAAATGAATTCTTCAGTCATGCCACCTCAAGGTAAGTTTTCAAATAAAAAAAAAAGGTAAACCTGTTAATTTGGTGTTTGGTTAGACCCGAGGCTTGCCATCCCTGAACAGAGATTCAGTCTCTGTAGTGGTCCATCACTGCTTATCAATACAGTTGCCCCGTGGCTGGGAGTGATTTCAGCCATTTTGGGGAGATTATTCTTTGGGTTTGCAAATGGATGCAGTGTTTATCTCTGTGAATGTCTTTGACCTTCTGAGGCACATTTGTGTGAATGTGTGTGCTGTTTCCTGGCTCTGTAGTCAGTGCCTTAGCCTACTAACCAGGCTTTTCTCTTTTAAAGGTTACCAGCAAGTGCCTGGAGCTGTTCCCCAGCAGCATTATTACCCAGGACAGGGTTACCAGGCCAGGTATCCAATGGGCCCTGTTCCATTGCAGTCCTCTCAGGGTTCATACCCCAGGCCATGTGGTCCTGAATCAACACAGTTCCCAGTCTCGGGCGCAGCACAGCCTCTGGCCATGCCTGGACAGGTATGTCACTGAATTAACATTGTTTGTGGACACCCAGTATAGGAGTAGATAAGATGCCCGTAGGTATTCAGAGATAGCTGGTGTAGCTTGTGTCTGGGTTAGGGAGCTGTGTGGGTACCTGATGCAGCTTGTTTCTGGACTGCTAGTGAGGGGGAGGGGGTGTGTGATACTGGTTATACCTGGGTTTGGGTTAGTGAGGGGGAGGGGGTGTGTGAGATACTGGTTATACCTGGGTCGGGTTGGTGAGGGGGAGGGGGTGTGTGATACTGGTTATACCTGGGTCGGG